GTTTATTAAGTTAATATATTTTTATGATAAATTAATGTAAAAAAATAAAGATAATAATTATTTAATACTATTAAAGATAAAAAAAATAAAGTTAAAACTAATTAAATAAGTACTAATTAAAAATTGTGGCTAAACATTAAAAAATTAAAAAAATAAATTTGTCAATAAAATTAAAAATTTCAATTCACTAACGATCTAATATAAAAAACTACTTTAGATAATTTTTTCAATACACTAACTATTTAGATTCTAATCATTATCTGTTAGTTTTAAATCATTAAATAAAAAAATTTACCAAACACCAATTTATAATAATTTTAAAATAAATAAATTTACTAAATATATATTTTTAGTGATTTAAGTAAAATCTAGAACCATTAACTCCGCATCACTATACCAAAATGGCCATAAATTACATTGTATTCTTTATTACGTTGACAATATTTTTATATTATTTTTTAATATAATTTTACATATTACTTAAATAATCATTTCTTTATATTCATTTAAAATTTATAATATTAAATATATTTATTTATCTAACAACATATAAAAATTATATAATAAATTATATATAAAATTCATCTCTATATTCCTATCCTTAATTCCAAATCTCACCCTTTCCTCCAAATCTCTGATCCACTTTGTAAAAAAAGATTCCCTTCTTTGAACTTTTCAAGAAAAAAAGAAAAACCTTCTTTAAAAAAACTGTAAATCAATGTTTTTGGACCTGGCCTGGCCCGGTCGGTTGAACCGGATCCGGGCCTGAAACGGGTCGGTTGAAGGCTTTAACCGTTTAGGTGAATGGCCCGTTGACACCCGGCAAGCCCGTCGTGCCCGCTGAACCCGTGCGACCCGCCATGCTCACCCGGGCTGAAATTTTCAGTTTTTCACCATCTTTTTAATTTTAAGTTTTTGTCTTTTGACTTAAATTAAAGTTTAAAACCTAAATTAAAAATCAATTAAACTAATTAACTAAGTAAAAACTAAAAACCCTAAGAATCTAAAATCTTAAGCAGCTCGGGACAGTGGAAACTGGAAAGTCTGGAAACAAATTGCAAAACCCAGATTCAGAACCGGCCTCTTCCCAGTCCTACTGGCTGAGTGTTTGTCTTCAAACACTCGAGTCATGGGTTTTGGGTTCGAAGGTCCGGTGAGCAGAGCAGAAAACCCAGATTTAGGAGGAACCAAGTACCAACAGAACTGCAGAAGGGTCTTCTGCCAATCGTCCGCCACTCCGTCGATCTTCTCTTCGCCGATCGTCCGCCAATTTCTCTTCCACCGATCGTCCGTCAATCTTCTCCTCTATCACTGCACTTCTTCTGTTCCGCCGATCTTCACCATCTACCTCATCTGATTGGCTCAAAACAGAACATATCGTCTTCGGGAAAGTGGTTTCTCTCCTCTACTGAGCACCTCCTCCTCATCTCCTCTGTTGACTGCCGATCACCTCCTCCTTCCTCACTGGACTGAAACAGCAAAACAAAACAAAAGTCACATTGTTGCAGAACATACCATCTCCTCCATCGCTGCCCTCCTTCTCTTCCTCATCTCCTCTGTCGGTGCCCTTCTTCTCTTCCTCATCTCCTCTGTCGGTGCCCTTCTTCTCTCTACTCTACCGAACAGAAGCAGCAACAAAAATCAGAAACTTCCTCGTCATTCACTCAAAAATAGAGTAAAACTAACCTACAACAATAAAATTCAATAAAAATGTCAAAAAAAAATGTTTTTTTAGTTAACCGGTTCAACCGGTTGACCCGGACCCGGTGGTCAAAACGGGCCAGCCACCAGGCCGGGTTCAAAAACATTGCTGTAAATGTCTAAAATCATTTGAAAAAAAAAAATTACTGTAATTATTATCCAAGAAACCACCGGGTGCGGAGGCGCCTGATTTCGTGTTCATAAAGAAATAGAAATTGGCTTCCTTCCGTATCCAGTCCACTCCAACAAGGATTTGGACTAATCTCTTAAAACCCTATAAATCCGGTATCCCCACCCCAGCTTCCTCATTCCATACATCATCTCTTCCAGTTCAACGCCTTTCTTCTTGATTTCTTCATCCTCTGCAGTTTATAGCTTCAATGACGAACCCGATTGCTATTGCTCCTTCAATCCCTGACTCCAGGGTTTCTTTTCCTGATACCCTTTTGCAATCTTTTGAGAATCTTCATCTCAACAATATTGGAATTGGCAGCGAATATGCAATTTCACCGTACTTAACAGCACCTGCTACGAGCAATACAGGAGGAATTTTTTTGGCCCCCAATTTGCAGTTTCCTACAGAACGTTTCTTGCCTTCAATCAACCATGTCGGTGGCGGGGAGACCACGACTGCGGTACCGGTGCCTTCTGAAAACTCAATAATCCTCCGTTCGGCTTTGACTCCATATGGCTCCCAAAAACTCCAGCAGTATTTAGCTTATAAGGATTCAGCAGTTATAAACCTCGTATTTGAAGCGGTAATAGACTCAATTTTCGAGATCATGACGGACCAGTTCGGACATCAGGTGTTTGGAAACCTGATTCCCCTCTGCAATCAGAATCAGCTGAATATGATTGCAACCATGATTGTGATGCACCAAGATACATTCATCAAAGTATGCCTTGATAACTACGGTTCTCCTTCAGTGAAAAGGCTCATCAAACTTCGGGTGAAATCATACTATTTAGATGGTGCGATTGTGAGGGCTCTGCACCAGGGGTTCCTACAATTGATGGTCCATAAAACGGGATGTCACGTTATATTGCAATGCATGGAGACCCTTAGTATTGAAGACAATGAGTTACTGTATGAAGCAACTATAAACAATTTCTTTGATTTGGCTATGGATGTTAATGGATGCTTGGCATTGAATAGTGTGATTGATGTGATTAAGGGTCCTAGAAGAAATGAGCTCCTGGAAGCCATTGCAGATTTAGCTGTGTGCCTCTCCCAAGATCCTTATGGAAACTTTGTGGTGCAGAACCTGCTGGGACTCCAGTACCCCAACATCACAAAGAAAATATGCTATTTGTTGAAGGATCACTACGCAAGGATCTCGATGCTGAAAGGCGGCAGCCATGTGGTGGAAAGATGCCTCAAGTCTCCAGAGAGGGGTTATGCAGTTGAAGCTTTTGTGGAGTGCCAAGAGCAAGTACTAGTGAATGTTGCCAGGGATCAATTCGGGAATTATGTCATCCAGACAGCACTCAAGGAAACAAAGCATGCCGACCGCGCACTCCATGACAGACTTGTAATGAAACTCAGATCACATCTTCGAGATCTGCAGCGTGGATATGGAAGGAACGTCTGCAATTTGATCTGTAACCAAGACTCTTACTAACTGTGGATCATTCTATGAGTCGGATTGCATGTTATTCCCTATGCTTAACTCTCTGAGCTTCTACTCATCTGTTTAACATTACCATATACGTACGTGTTTTGTTTCCTGCTTTCTTTTTCAAGATTAATGTATAGAGTGTTGATCAAAATTTCTATGACCAATGTAAGACATTCAAGTTATAAATATCGGTTCTGGTTTTTCTTCATACTTCAGTCTGTAATTGTAAGAGAATGGCCCAGATTTTGCAGGATTATTACACTGCATCAGGTCAGGCTGTAAATTTACAGAAAATGGATTTTGTTTGGCAGCAAACAAATCCTGTACGCATTTCAAGAACTGCATTTTTGAGCTTTAAAGTTTTTAGAGACGAGAATGGGGGCTGGGTGTAGGATCTGGGTTGGCCTGTTCATGAAACTCGGCTCTAAAGTCCCACTGATGGGCCAGCCCCTTGTTAATATTTTAGTATCTTTTGGATATCCAAAAAATCAGCCTTGGAACAATTGAACCCAACCCATGGTACCGCCACCAATTCTAAATGTACTGTAGTAGAAAATACTAAATAGAGAATGTAAAAATATAAGAAAAAGACTCATGTTTTATATGTAAGAGTGTAATTCCACCTAAGAGCTGAACTGAATTACTAAAATAATAGAAAAAATAATTTTATTAAAAGTATTTTAGTATGCATTTTTAATTTTTTTTTGGTATTAAATCTCTATTTAATAATCACATTAAATTTTAATTAATTTAAAATCAAATCATATCAAAACTTATAAAAAAAATATTTTTTTAATATTTATTTTTTTATTTATAAGATTCACACTCAAACTTTTACTTTAAAAAATTCAAAATCATTTCATTCCAATTAATAAGTAATTGGCATGCATTGTTAATATAAAGGTTCAGGTTGGCAACAGTTTTTCTTACGGATGTAAAAAATGTGTATTTATCTGTGCGGGCGTGTGACCTTAATCCTAATGATCTCTATTGAACGAGTTAGAACTTGTACATTATTTACATATTACCCACTCATTCTTACTTTTGACTTGAAGGTCTAAACGTACAACTGTACAGAGCACCAAAACGAAGTAGTAAGGACACAGCAGAACACGACCCTTAAACCCTACTCGCCCCTCCTCTTTAAAGGGCGGAAGAAAATTTCTCCATCACTTGTCCTTTCTTAAACCCTAGCCGCTTCCCTCAGTCTTGTCTCTGAGTCTCTCCATTCTTCCTCTCCAATTTTAGAGGTGATACTTGTAAGTTAATCTCTTTCTCTTTCTATTTGTCTGTTTCTGATCCTTTGGGATTGTTTTGGTATCGCTTGCTATTTCATTTTGGTGTTTCGATTTGGCTTTGTGATGTTGTTTTAATGGGGATCTCCTGTTCATTTCTTCATGGTTGAGGAAACCCACTTCCAGATCAACGTTGTCTGGACTGCCATGGTGTTTTTTTGATGATAAAACAATCAGGCTTTGACTTTTTGTTAATGGGGTTTTGGTTTGGGCGTCAAAAATCTAATTTTGCAGTGAAAATTGGGATCTTTTGTTTGATATCCATAGCTGTAAAGCCTGAAAATGACTAATGATTTTGTTCCTGGAAAACATGAAGGTTGTTAAGAATCAAAATGGCCCTTAGTGCTAAGCTTGGAAGCCTCTTGAGGCAGAACGCTCAACTTTCAATGACATCAGTGGTTAACTCTATTCGTTGCATGTCCACATCAAGCACAAAGCTTTTCATTGGAGGTATTGCCGTACTAGTTGTGTTTTTGCAATAAGTATGTATTTTGTGTTTTGACACTGTGATGGATGTCTTGTAGGACTTTCATATGGAACTGATGATCAGTCTCTCAGGGATGCTTTCTCTAATTTTGGAGATGTAATTGATGGTGAGTTATGGTGATTTTTCTGATCTTGGGTTTTTCTAATAAATATAGTGTAGATGGTAATATTATGCATGTTTAATTATGTGGTTAATAAAATGTGATGGTGCTTATAATCTGTTTCATAAGATCACTGAGCTTTCGATTTAATAAAATATGATACAATTAAAATCTTACCTCCTTTATTTATTCTGCCTTTTTAATTTGTTGTTAGTGTTATGGTTCTTTTGATCTTCTGTTTTCCTTTGGAAAATTCAATATTAGATAACATTTTTGTTTGCTTTTCTGCTAGGAACCATTTAGGTGGTTAAGGTTGTGTGGTTTTATTTCCTTTTGGATTCTGTTTTCATTTTGAAAATTTGGTCAGATAAAATGTGTAGTTCATCCATTGTGTGATGTGATCATCCACTCTATATTTTGTTTGGGGAATAATGATATAGGAATTCATTTTTTTTTCTTTTCATATTTGAGATCTTTTGATGGTTTGTTCATTCCCTTGTTTTTCTGTTGATGCTCAGCAAGGGTTATCAGTGATAGAGACACTGGGAGGTCCAGGGGATTTGGTTTTGTTAGCTTTGCTAACGCAGATGCAGCTAGCTCTGCATTGTCCATGGATGGTCAGGTTAGGAAAAAGATGCATAAATATACCATAAGGTTTATTTAAAATTAAGTAGTGCATTAATTGCTGGATACTGAATTGCAGGAACTCAATGGGAGGAACATCCGAGTAAGTTTTGCAAATGAAAGACCTAGCGCTCCTCGTTTTGGTGGTGGCAGTGGTAGTTATGGAGGAGGCTATGGAGGGAATTCTGGTGGTTATTAGGTGCTTGTTTCAAGTCCAGTCTTGTAGTTTGTTTACTTTCTAAGATTGAGGTTTAATGTTATCTTTGGATGAATGTCCCGAAGTTGTGGAACTATTTCTTGGGTTGGATTCAAATTTCTGCTCGTAAATGCATTTTTAAGATATATATTGGCAAGGTAAGCTTTGGCTAGAGTACTGAGTTCATAATCGAATTATCATTTGATGAAGTATGGTTAAAATATTTTGAATGCTGTTTGTTGCAGGGATTGGCTTGGTTTGGTCAGTCTGCAATAACGTCATGCCAGGGTATTAACTGAAATCATGAATGTCACTTTTATTTTTGGCTTTTCTAGTTTCTGCAGTGGTTATGCTGTGCTTATATGCTTGACTTTGTTGATGCACCCCCCTTGTGTACGATTGAAGAATAGCATGCTGATGCACTCCCCTCGGATGAATGGGTTTGCTGCTTTTTTAGGGATTTGCAAATGTGATGTAAATTGGGTCCCTGAGGCTTGGGCTGGCTGTCAAGAGTTGGCCCAAAGTTTTCCCATGTCCAAATCATGTTCAGTTCCCACTTCCGTTGGAGTTGACAATCAAATTCTGGCTTAAGTTTTCCCTAGAGCTGGCGTTGTATTTCTTTGATTTTGAGGAGGCAAGGAGTTCGAATGTAGTTAAGATGTCAAGAATAGTAGTTGTGGCTCCCTTCCCTAGTCTTTTTACAGACTAAGAAAGCAGGCCTAAACCCTTTAGCAGAACGTTATGTAGACCCTAACATGAAAGTGTTGCGGGTGCTAGGGCTCAAAACAAAGCCATCATCGATTTCGAAAGCCAATCGACTACCAGTCCATGAAAAGTGCTTGGGACTTGCAAGTTGCAATCTTCACAGCCAAGTGAACATCTTTTGACCCAATGGTTTTTAGACGAGGGAGGTGCGGTGGACAATTCTAAGTTGGAAGTCTCGTGTTAAAACATTGAAACAACATTAAATGAAGTTCTTCGCATGTTGTAAATGTTGTATGGTCATTATGTATACATCTACCGTTATATATACACCCTTTTTTATAAAACGAAACCAAAAAAAAAAAGCGCAAAAGTTGAACTCGAGAAACAAAGGTAAACGAGAGCACAATGTGTATGTTTTAATTAAACTTTAAGCTATCAAATAAGATGTGAAAAGGAAGATATTAATCATCGAGCGTCGGTAAGCACATATAGAATAGAAGTGCTTTTCAAAAGTGTGGGGTCTGTTTATACTGTTTAGCATACTGCAGATTGATTAGAGAAAAAGGCCAAAAAAAAAAAAAAAAGAAAAAAAGAAAAAAGCCTGTGGTTGTGCGTGGAGTTGGAGGTCCGTTGGCAAGTCTCCATCCCATAAAGTTTTTACACACACAAAAATTCATGCATGCACTGAATCTGGAGAAGCTAGCCATATCCGTAAATTTGTTTTATTAAATATTTTTGAGTAATCTTAAGAGTGCACATCCTATATTAATATATTTAAAATTTTTAATTTTTTTAATTATTGATATCAAAATTTAAATATTATCTCTACAACATGTTTGTTTGTGAATTTAATTCTTAGAAAACTAAATTCATTTTATTGCTTGGAAAAAAAGAGAGAGAGAGAGTTAAATATGGAAATCTGGGTTTTAAACTCTAAAGGTCGTTTTCGAGATCTCATACAAATAAAATCTATTTATAGCATAGAACCAGCAAAATCTCATACAGATAAAATCTATTTATAGCATAGGACCAGCAACGACCGAAGAAGAAGAAGGATAAGGATAAGGACAAGTACCAACATACAGGCAGTCGACAGCCACCTTTAAGTAACAAAAAGAGACTATTGTACATAACAGAAAAAGCTTGAGCAAAGATTATTGTCAGTGATGTGATTTAATAATAGAATTATATGTGTTTGTATAAATCTCATGAATAGGATTTTTTTTTATCTATATATATAAACAATGGATGAGACATACTAGGGATGCTTGACTGATATGACACTAAATAGACAAGCCCATGTGTGTCATGGCCTCATGGGACCTTCTTGTTAATAATTAGGATTGAAATGAAATTGACGTTTAGCTAAGTATTTATGCAATGAGTTTGCCATTTTAGTCGATTGCAAAAAAAAATAATTATTGATTAGAAGAGGATGACTTTATATTCAATGATCTTTTTTATTATGTGATTTGATTGTTGTTTTTAGACTCGTTACGCTTTAAAATATTTTATCACGTTAGATAATATCAATAAAGAAAATTGTGGTAAATGAAATTTTAGGAACTATTAAGCTCAGTGGTAAAAAATAAGGGACTATTCAACTTAAATTTATACCTCTACCTCAGATTGAGGCAACTTCTTCTCACCCTTGGCTTTTACTAAAAAAATCAACTTAAAATTATATATATATATATATATATATATATATTTCAAACTCGATGTAAAGGTGCCATCCAAGGATAAAGCAGTAATATTTTACCACTTGCTCTTAAGTGGTTGGCAACAAAATTGTAAGTCGAGACATGTGAAATCAAGAAACAGGAAATTGAAATTAAGTTTTATAATCATTAATGGAATGGAAGGTTAAAGTATTGAGACCCATCTCTTTATTGATAATTAAAAATTGTAAAGTATGCTTTCTCAATCCAAATAGAATATAAAATAGATATCAAAAAAGATTAGAGAGACTCCAAACTGTTCTTAAATTTCTAAACTTACCTCATATTAGTATTTAAGTTCTTAAATCCTTGATTGGTGCAAAAACCCTTTATAACTAAGGGCTATTTAGCGGGGACTAACTCCCTTTGGTGATGTTGATGTGATGATGTAGATGTTGATATGGATGAAAGTGGCTTGTTGATTTCTTTTAATTTTTTTTGGTAATGATATAGAGATAGTTTTATATATTTATATATATATATATATATGTCATTAAATGAATAAATATATATAATATCATTAATTTTAAATGAATAAAAGGAGTCAATAATTATATGATGCGTAAAATTATATAAAAAGATTATTTTTAAATATTTTTTCCTTTAATTTTTAGGATCTTGACAGAACCCAAAGATCCCTCCACATTAGAGTCAATCCAGCTGTTTGGACTGCTGATGCCCTTAGTCATTAAGGGCTTATTTGCACTAGTTGACAAGTCAAAAGGCTTATTTACATCATTTTTACTTTAGGGGTTAAAATACTAATTGGAGACAAATTTGGGGACTTAAGAAGGGTTTTTGCCAAATCCTAAGTTGAGACATGTAAAATCAAGAAACAGGAAGTTAAAATTAAGTTGTGTAATTATTGATGGAAGAGGCAGACTCTTAAATATTAAGAGCCACCTTTTATTAATAATAATAAAAAATGAAAAGCAGTAGAGTCTGTATTTTCAATTAAAAAAAGTAGAGAACATAGACGAGTCAAAAACCATTCATGCTAACCCTAAACAAGGATCCAATTATAAATTGCTGTGATTGAGTTCCGTTCATCATTGACAACGGTAAAATCCGCCGACAAAGTCATTAGTTGAAAGCACGCACTCCACAACGACATTCATGCATGTGAGCCCTACCGGCCATAGCAAATGAAATTATGCTCTACCCTTTGACAAAAATGACCAAATCAAAAACCAAGAAGCTGTAAACCATGTGCTTATCTAGTCTTAAAGTCACATCTATACACTCCTCCATACACTTTCTCCCTCTAGAATTAATTATTCCCCAATTGTTATAGAAGCTTCTATATCTCCCTTTTTTTTCTCCAATTAGTGCTCTCCCTTGCTATAATGTTTAATCTTAATTCTTAATAGGAGATATATGACTTAATTGACAAAGAATTTATTGCTGCTTACTTTATTGGTCAATGTTAAATTCTTTGAGAAGGCCAATAAAAATATAATTTCTTATGAATTATCTAAATTTCAATATAAATACCTTACTATTAACCAAATTAAAAAGACATTAATCTTGAATCATGCATAAGATAACATGGGACACTCTACTAGCTATCAAATAAAAAACCAAAGTAATCTTACCTTTGTACCATGTTGAGATTAAGAGGCTCATTATTAATTGGATCATCACTAACCCACCCCCTACTCCTTTCATCAAAAACCAAAAACTATGCCAATAAAGCAACATCTAATTATGTCCAAATGTAGGAGGAAAAACAGCAAACTGAGACCGAGGAATGGCTCAAGCGTGAAGAAATAATGTGGAAACAACGATCATAGGAAATTTGGCTGCAAGAAGGAGATTGCAATACTCATTTTTTCCACAAGAGGGTGTCAAGACAAACGGAACATAATATAGTTGACAAGTTAATGGGTGAAGATGGCCAATGGACAAATAATCCAAATGAAATCAGAGTTATTGCTACTAGTTATTTTGAGTCCCTTTTCTCCTCCTCCTAACCAAGGAATTTTCAATATGTGTTGAACTGTGTTAAGCCTTGTGTATAGGAGGATGATAACAAGTTTCTTCTTAGTGAGTTTATAGAATAGGACATTACAAGTTCCCTTTTCCAAATACATCCTTTAAAGGCCCTAGAGTTTGAAGGCTTATCACCTAGTTTTTTCAACGTTTCTGAGATATCATAAAAGTAGATTTAGTGTCCCCTTGCCTAAGATTTCTAAATGAAGGCGACCCCATACCTGATAATTTGAATTTCACCAACATTGTGCTTAAACCAAAGTGCTTTGAACTAAAAACCATGGCCGACTTACATCCAATTAGTCTCTGCAATGTCATTTACAGGGTGCTAGCTAAAACATTAGCAAATTGTTTCATATCAGTCTTGCCCTCTATGATCTCATTTGAACAAAGTTCATTCCTTCCCAACGAACTCATCATGGACAATTTCTTGATTGCTTTTGAAGTTCTACATTATATCTGAGCAAGAAAGGATAGGAAATAGGAGTGGCAAGCCATTAAAGCTTAACATGAGTAAAACTTTCAACAAGGTAGAGTGGCCATATCTAGAACAAATCATGAGATCGTTAGGTTTTGTTGAGCATTGGATATAATTAATTATGGCTTGTATTATGACCATTTAGTACAAGGTACTTCTAAATGGTTTAGAAGTTGGACAAGTGTCTTCAATTAGAGGGATACATTCAAGAGATCTTCTCTTACCATACCTTTTCATCCTCTGTGCAGAGGGCCTTACGACTATGATCCACGAAGCTGACAGAAGGAGGCTCCAGGCTCCTCCATCATATTAAAATATGTCACCATGCCCCTTGCATACCCCACTTGTTGTTTGCAAATGATAGTTTTCTTTTTTTCCAAGCCACAGAAACTGAAGCCCAGAACTTAATGGATGTCCTCCGAAAGTGTGAATTGATGTCAAGATAGATGGTGAATTTGCGTAAATCTACTATTTCGTATAGCAATAATGTCTAGAGTAGAGCTTGTAGGTGCATTACAAATATTCTCATATGGAAAAGATAAAGCACCAAGGTCGGCATCTAGGTTTCCTAATCTATGTTGGTAGATCATGCTTTATAACCTCCTCCAACCTGAAAAGCAAATTGTGGTCTCATATAAGTGAATGGAGGGAACAACCATTATTTAAGGTAGGTTGGGAAATCTTAATCAAGTCTATTCTTCAAGCCCTTCCTACTTCTGTGATAGATCTATTTAGGGTTCCAATCTTGCTTTGTATAGAACTGGAACAGATTATGAATAGGCATTAGTGGATTTGGAGTGCCCTATATGTGATTATGATATGGAATTGATGGTACACTGCCTTTTATTTTGCTTTGTTACTCATGCAGTATGTCATGGAAGCTCTCTAAGTCTTTGAGTGTCTGAGCTCCCTTTTAGTTCTTTTACAAATTTCTTTGATACTATAAGTGCTGACTTGGGGAAGGAATAGTTGGAACTTTTATGTACATTAAGTTGGAGGATTTGGAGCTGTTAAAACGATGTTCAATGGAACAGTGGAAGGCACACCCTCAACAAATCATTGAAAGGCGTGTGAATTATTTGGGGGA